AAAATGTATACCTACATAGATATATGCTCAATGATATCTGAATATGTATCTACATTTCTATATATTTATATATATATATGTGCGTGTATATATATATATATATGGGTATATGTATATATATATATGTATGTATGTATACAGTTTGTTCTACTGTATATATAGGTAACTTTATATTTTTGCGCATTCACACATACATGCAACACTTCTACAATTTACGCTTCCATATTTCCCGCATTATTCAAAAGGGGATTCATCATCGCTATCATTGCAGTACATTTGTTCTGGTTGTCATCCTATGAGCTGTGTAGGCCTTTTCACATCTGTAACTGTAGTGACAGGTCTTTAAACCCCAAATCCCAAACCCAACTCCCCGCAGCTGCTGGATATTCCTGAACCCACAAATGCGGACGAATTCACAGACTTGCGAGACAATATAGCCCAGTACTTCAGTGGCAATGTGACTCTGCCAGGCATGGTGCCTGCCGCACACTGCTACGCCGGTACACAGTTCGGCAACTTTGCCGGACAGTTAGGAGATGGGCGAGCGACCAATTTAGGTGAGATCACGAACAAACGGGGCCAGAAATGGGAGCTGCAGTTGAAAGGTGCTGGGTTGACCCCGTATTCCAGGACAGCAGGTGCGTTTTGAGCGAGGCGTAGGTGCATAGAGAGTGGTGCAGGATGCACCTGTTTTGTGGGACATAGAGGGCCACAGACTTTAGTGTACACCTTGTAACCTGCTGTACGCACAGGGTGCAATGTAAGGGCTGTGTATGTATGTAGACACCTTCCTAAATGGGGTCTGTGGGGTGTCTGTCCTTACTTTAGTAGAGCACGCGGTTGACCTCGCCGTGCCCTGTTTGTAGTTCCATGGTTGTGCGAGCGCAGGACATCTCTGGTGTGAACACATATCAGCAAAACGTTGTATACGGATATGGTTTGCTCGGACGATTCCATTGACTATTGGTATCTATACTTATTCCCATACTTGGTTCAAGTGCCATGTATAATACGTTAATACGTTGGGCATATACTAATTCCGATGTCTTTACATAATACCTACAGACGGCCGGGCTGTTTTCCGGTCGTCCATTCGCGAGTACATCTGCAGCGAACATATGCACGCACTGGGTATTGCAACCACACGCGCAGCCTCCCTAGTCACCTCAGACACTCTGGTGGTACGAGACCCCATGTATGACGGACACACCATAGAAGAACAGTCCACAGTAGTGTTACGGCTAGCCCCATCGTTCCTCCGCTTTGGCTCGTGGGAGGTGTTTCTGGGCGAGGACGAAAGGACTGGACGTGCGGGTATGTCTTTAATGTGTGATATTGTTGTGTATGTCTTTCATATGTGTTGTTGTTGTGTATGTCTTTAATGTGTGATGGTGCTGTGTATG